TTTATTGTATTTCGTGCAGTGCCATATGCTATACATATATGCATAAAATCCGCAGTCTGATAATAACTTCTGTCATGGGCGATGGAAATATACTTTTCTTCTAAAATTCGTGTCCTTTATTCTCGATCAAGAAAAAAATAACAAAAATGATGCAAAAGACATTATATTGTATAATACATATTGTCGTTTAAATATATGAGTAAATACATTTTTGACAATTTCATATCATAGATCCATTAGAAATTTCTTTATCGTTAAAAAAAGAGCATCCTCAGATTCATTTCCAATAAGCTCTATAATCACCAGCGTTCCAAGCCCCTGGCGCAGTAACTTCGCTAAATACCGACAGATCATAAAAACTCGGAACAGCAATCCGCCGCCGCGACCCGTTCGTCGAGGCGCAAACTTCGCTTTATCGTCGGTCCGACAGTACGCCCGGCCCATCCAGTTAGACGATCGAATGAAACTCAATTTATAAAAGAAGTTGGACAGTATCGTAGACGTCTATACGGACACAATGCCTCTGGCGTCGTCGGTCTTGAGGTGCAAGTGATTGCACTCCGTCGGATTATTACGTTTCTAACAATCGGGACCGGCACGATTCGTCGTTCTTTCGACTCTTCGGTCTCCGTTTGCTCGTCGATGGAGGGCAACTAGTGTCTCGAGTAGCCGCGGATATAATGGGGGAAGATAGTCTGCGGATGGACGTTTGGAAAACGAAAGGTACGGCTGCCAGAACCGTACGTGGCGAAGTGGCTCGCTCGGTTTTTAGTGGTCGTTACTATCGGGCGACACTCTCAGGGAGAGAAGAGAGAGGTTTTAGCGCGACGAGTCGGGGAGCGGGGGGGGGGGGGGGGCCCGGGGAGTCCGTGGAAGCGAAAAGGGGAATTCGGCGGTGAGAGTATTTTCGCCCTTAAAAGGGTCAGGAATAAGAGCCAATGGAATACAGGTACTTAGGAAGGTATCCCGCCGTTTCGTGCCGATAATATGCTTTTACGTGTTTTATCGATGTATTATGAAAGTTCGGGAATGTAATTATTAGATTCCGAGTTTTTTTGGAAAGTGGCACTTTGTAAAGTGATGTATGAAGACATGAGTAAATTTAGGAAATTCTAGTGGGATAAAAATGAAATGAAAAATTTATTGAACTCGATCGAATTTTTTTTTTTTACCGAATTTCACGTATTTCTGAATGATGGAAGTACATAAAATCCGTAGTGTACTAGTTTTTGTTATTTGTATCAGTATAGGTTATTTATGAAGTATTAACGAGTATTTGTTAATGTTTCAGCAACGGAATAGATGGATTACATATAGTGAAAATGTTAAATTCGTCGTCATTCTTACATGGTTCAGTCGTATACAATCTCCACTGAATTGTCGGACGGTCGTCTGGCGAGCTTTCGACGGAGCTTTTCGCATCGAGAGAATCTTTCAGGATTCACGTACGGCTCGGGGTTCCTCTTTCGTCGTTTCCCTCCGCTCCTCCCCCTCTCTTTGTCCCCTCACCTTCACTATTCCGAATGCAGACCTCGATTCCGTGATACGGGGTAGAGACACACGACAACTTCAGACAATTCCCCGGATTGCATGACGACGACGACGCCCGCGAAAACTTTTCCCGTAGCGGCTGCATAAAGCCGCAGTTGAGCATTCCATACACCTACTTATCGCGAACAATTCCGATTCTTGTCGCGCGATAGAGACACGCGCGCGGGAGCCGCGTAAACCGCCGGTGTACGCGTGTTTGTAAAACGACGACGACTACGAAACAGAGACGATTACTCCACCGAAATTGCTCCCGACTGGGGGACCGAATGAGGAGGATCTCTCTTCTCCCGCGTGGATCTGATCCTCCGCAATCCTCGCAGCGCGATGCATTGTGACGTTGGTGAACCTTGAGCTGTTACGATCTCGTTCCATACGTCGCTAATCAGTGGGCCGTGGATATTTTATGGATTTAGGATACAGATGCTTGGATTTGGTAATCGTGCGCAACAATAATTTATTTATTTATTTAGTTATTAAACGGGTATAAACCCGGTGTATATACATAACAATTTAAAGAAAATAAAATTTGAAACAGTTACAGGAACATAGTATACACATATATATATCCTTCTTTTAACAAAATTACGATTTACTCACAAAATAATTTGGTTAGTCACAAAGTAAAGTGATGACTAGACTGGGGATTTTATGCATTCATAACATATAGAGGTCTGTAAAATACAATAAACGGTAAAACTTTCATCAGAACCAACGAGTTTTCTATTTTATTCTGCACCCAATATGATACTTAAGAGAAGAAAGACATTCCTACGTTTGCTCTTATCTTTATGAATTACATTCGAAAATATGATGAACATTTAACAGAAAAAGATGTTCCTTAGGTACCTAATTCTTCGTGGAACAGAAAGCATTCCACATTTTCCCGCGCCATAAAGATTTTAGGAATGCAGCGAGGCCGTTTCGAATGCAACGTAATTTCCTCGCCATAACGGTTGCGCGTTTGCAGAGGCTGAATACGCGTGCATCTCGTATCTTCTGTTCCGCCGATGTCGAACCGCAGGCATTCTAATGCCGGATCGCGGACAAAGATTGCGCTCTGCCCATTATTCTTTCGCTTTTTCGCGATTTACGTAACGTTTCGCCGGTCGCAACACCATTAGCACGTTCCGCTTGCATTATGCAGGTGTCCTCGAGTGTACACTTCGCTCCATAGATCCGTTCTGTTCGAAACAAAAATGACAGACTTTTTCTCTTCGAACTGTTGCTGCTTTTATTACATGCTTGAAAGATTAATATTGAAATAAGAATAATTAAGACTGTTCGGTTTCAATTGTTTGAGCGTGGAATGGTTGAGAGGTAAAAAATTATTGTGAATTATGGTGGTCGATGCAGAGGAATTTTTTTCACACTGTGTACTCTATAAAAATATTATTACTATTGTTATTATACTCCTTTAACATACAATTCTAACAACACACAACTAATTGGCAGTAGTAAATTACACATGAAATGCAAGATGCAGAATATGCTCTCCGTTTATTAATGAACGGCCCAATGTGGACCACCACCACCACGGGCCCTTAATAAGTGTACACCCTCGCATTCAAAAGTTTCGCGGTGATTCGTTCTAGTTAACTGAATCTCGGATGGACTATAAATTTCATTAGCATTCTGGTGAATTTGTCCCATTTCCACCGCTGACTCCTGAATCAATACTACAGAATATTTTCTAGAACTTAAATATAAAGTCATTATTTCTTTGTACCTTTGAATAACAGAATATTTACAACACCTTCTTTTGTATATTTTAAATATGGCTTGGATTAGGTTACATTTTTACGGCTATTGAGTCTTTTTCGGCCCAGTGGCCCTTATATTTTCAAACTCATTACATCCCTGCAATTTGTTTCAACTTATAGTCGGCGAAAAAAGCATTTGCATACTCAGTTCTTTAGAAGTAACTATATGTAAAGTAGTAGCACATTAATGCAAACTATGTATGTTTTTCAGTACTTGATTGTGCACAAAAACAATATGCTCGTTTAGAAACGTCAGCAATTTTACTGTTAAAAAATAATACAAAAAACGAAATTCTCGTGGTGAATATTGCGATCTTATTTTTTCATTAAATATTCTATACGTGAGAAAGCTGTGAAACGATTGTTTATTAATATTTATTTCGTGTTCTTTAGTGCTGTATAAAATGTAGAATTGAATTGTGGGCTACAGGTGGGTTGAAATATGTTTGAAGTAGATTTTTGTCTATAGTCTGGTTTTCTAATCACACTTTGTCTATTTCAGATTTTATTACTATATAATATTCTTACTCTAGAGATAAATATAGCAGAAATTCCTTTCAAGTCAGATATATGAAATAATATTAGATAAATTGGGACATTTGTAGTAAAGTTTTTGAAGAATTTCCCTAGTTAAACATCATCTTCGATATTTCACTGAAAATCTGATCTGAGTAAAGTGCAAGCTGTCTTGCGAAATTTAATATTCCCCCTTGATGTTTAAGTATCTAAAAATATTCCACAGTATTCTTAATCGATCGATTTTATTACTTTATCTGATTAATTTAGCGTCGAACGTTTGTTTCCGGTGTATAATCAAGACATTTGCGTGTCAAACGAAATTTCCGCGAATGATTTACTTTGGTTAATGAAATCCCGGCTGTGATGTATTGCTCAATTACTTCGTGTAAGTTAATTTATGGGTATATCTTGGCTGTACGTTGCGCCAGTGCACCGCAAACATAGTCTTCAGCAAATATTTTCCGGCCCTTCGGTCTTACCCCTAAAACTTGCTTGAATATTCATATCACATTACTACATTATACTTTGTCCTTCCGACACACATCTATCGTTAATTATATTACTGTTCGAACGTGTCTTTTAATTTAAAGTACCCAGGATTTTATTATTATTAGAATGTCTGACCAAAGACGGTCCTGTTCCACTTATTGCAGGAACAATTTAGACTTATATGTATATTTGTTTTGCTCTTTTCCTGAGTAATAACCATAACTGCTGAGACTATAATAAACTGTCATGATTATAAAATGTGAAATATTTCATAGTATGTACTATTATAATAATTATATTGCAAGAATATATTTTATGAAACTATAAATACACAATACCTAGTATAAATGCACAACTTTTTTAGCCAGTGTACTCACAAGGAAATGGCAATTTTTTCTATTTTTGACGACTATACTCGTTACAAAGGAATGTCAATTTTGTCTGTTTCCGACGAGTATACTCGTCATAAAGAAATGATACAAGATTTTTGTGTCTTTAACAAGTATACTGGTAATACGAACAAAATTGTCATTGACTTAGAAAATTTAGAAGAATTATAAGTGAACATAATGCGTGTACAAAAATGTAATTTGTCTATACCGATGGAATATTCAGAATAAACTCCACCTCACCCGCACTACATGTCCACCCACTAACCTCAGTTTCTCCATTTTGTTTCAGATACGACGATACGGTAACATCGAACACACCAAACCAGAAACAAACATATCAATTCATATCAAACCTCATCATATCGATCTCCCGCGCATCGTCTGACCCGGGTGACACTTAATCACCAACCGACTGAACATATCGATCCTCTTCCAAATTCCCCGTCAGATCCAACGATGATTCATTCTCCACGCAGTCGCGTCAACTGTCGATCACACGGGACCGACAAGGTACTATCGTAACCAAAAAGTCCCTCGAGAAACCCTAGATACGCTTTTGCAAGCGTCAACCGTTCGAAATATTCCGTGGACTGTCGTTCCCGCGAGGAGGACCAGAGAAACGAAGAAAGAGGATGTTGCTGAGGTAACACGATCTATCGGGTCGGCTGAGAAAACGATAGCTGATTGAACCGTGCCAGAGACCAGGAGGGAGATCATCAGGTGACGAAACGGAGAGGATTCCGGTGAACGGAACTGAAAGTATAAAATGGGTTTTCCACGAAGGAGATCCTTGTGGCTGAAGGTGGCCATTTTAGCCACGGCGGTTTGGGCCACCGTCTGCTTCCTGCTGTACACGGAGGACCGAGCAAACGCCGCCGTGCAGGGTTTGGCTCCATCGGGCGTCGCGGCGCCTCAGATGGCCAATGGTTTTGTGCCAGCAGCCGCCCCTCTTAGGAAGGAGACACCATTGAACGTGCAGCCGAAGCAGAAGGTTGTGCAGGCTGGTCCCGAGCAAGGTAATGAATTTGTTGCTTATATTCGCGTTTCTATGGCCGGGCTACCCATCTACAAAAGGTGTCCGAATAAACAAGGATAAATTTAACAATATAACATGATATACAGGGTGTTCCGCTCAGCAACAGGCCACCTACATATTTTCTCTATCAGTGATCGTTCAAAAAATATTTTTTACGTAATTGAAATGGTTTCAACAGATGAATTAAATGGCGGCAAACATTTTTCATAAGTGTAATTTTTAAAATGATCTTTTCAAGGTCATTCGTGTTTTTTTTTACATATATGCACATAACTTTTTCTGTCGTATGTTATAGCCAATTTTATTGTGCATTTATCCATGTATAATAGTATCATCTTGAAATGACCTTGAACTCTAAAAATTTTAAGTTCACTTATATAATTTCTTCCACCGTCTGATTCGTCTCTTGAAACCATTTAAATTACGTAACAAAATATTTCTCGTATGATTACAGATAGAGAAGATATTTAGTTGACCTGTTTTAATCCGAGCACCCCGTATATCTATTTTGTCTTTCTCATTTTTTTTTTTTAAATTCATTTAAAAAATTTTGTTTAAAAAATAATTTTCCCAAATCTCGAAATCCACGCAAGCGAAGCCACGGGAAAAAAGCTAGTGTTACATAAAAATCTGCAGTCCACCGATGCCCAACAAATTAAACCAACGAAGGCCGTGGTGCAATATAGGGAAGCTATAAAGGCCCCCGGGATAAATACAGAAAGTTGCAGTCGGTGTTTTCAAGGAGAATCCAGCGTCAGGTGGGCACCGGTGATGCACGGCGCGAATTTTACCGCGGCGAAGTTCGCGAGCGGACTGCTCCGCTAGGCGTTAAAGCAATTTGTCCTGCTCTTTACGGCCTTTCGCCCGTACACACGCGGAGCCCAACTTCGCGGTGTGCCGGCAGGGATGAAATTCTTTTTAAGAAGAGCCCAGGACGTCGTTGGAAACGGGTAGAAGTCGCGCGTCCATACCGTGCCGGGCGCTTTCTACCGTCCTGGCTTTACCTATGCCCTCCCCGCCAATATGGCGCCCAAGAATAAAAGTTGAGTTTATGCGGAAAAGCTCTTAGAACAGAAACAGCCTCGGCCTCGGGTATGCGAAACGTCCTGAAAATTCAATTCACTCATTAGATTAAGTTTGTGCGGTGTATGGATTATTTAATTCAGAATTAGGATTGGTACCGAGGTGATACCGTACTATGTACTGTCGAGGTGGTTTATAGGTCAGGATGACACTCCTAGATATTACTGCGTTTCACTATGTATTATTCGACTAAAATTGTGCGCAATTCTGGTCTGAGAGACTCTGCTGATTTTCTTTTTTTTTATTCTTCTATTTTCTGGAGGTTCGTCAATTTAAGTCAAATCTAAGAAGGTAGAACAGCTCGTCTGTCTACTCTATGATATTTCTTAAGAAAATGTGTGGCTGAAATAAAACAGTAAGAGGAATTATCAAGAATCTTGTATACTTATATCTCAATATCCTAGACGTTCAGAAGTTTCGTAGAGTCAAATTGGACTTTGCGTCCCGAAGATTGTTCCCCGGTACTAATGGGTTAAATAGTGTTCAATAAAAAACTCAACGAATGAAAAACAGAATGAAATATTTAAATAGTAAAATTTATTTACTAAAGTTCATGTCTTTTTCGACACATTTTTCAGGTGGTGGCGTACTTGCCGCACCTCGGGACCAAGACACAAGTGCGCCTGGTGAAATGGGACGGCCAGTGATTCTGCCAACGAATTTGACTACCGAAACGAAAAAACTTGTTGACGATGGATGGTTGAACAACGCGTTCAATCAGTACGTCAGCGACTTGATTTCCGTTCACAGAACGCTACCGGACCCTCGTGATCCATGGTGAGTGATAAGATAATATTTCTTCTTCAATAATTTTTCAGTTATCTCATATTTAGCTACTTGAATGAAAAAAGAAATAAAAAACCATATGTGAACAGTTTTCAAGTATCTTGAATACGAATTGCAGTAAAACAATGAAGATAACATAATTCAGGCCCCATTAATGGGTTAATCTCCCGAGTCCCCAACACAATTTCCTCCATTCTTTACAAAACCAAATTCTGGTTGTTCAATATTGTAGCAGCACGCTAACCACGCCAGGATGTGTAGCGTGACCGCCGATCGGTCCTACTTAACACCGCCGGAAGCCTCTAAATCAGGGCCACCTGTTCGCGGACCACCTGCGCGTACGGTCTCACCCTTTTCCGCACTACTAGCCGTTCAGTTCCACGGACGTCGCGCCGCGGTGACCCGCGCCATGCAGACGCGTCCACGAATTTCACCCTTCCCCTCTGCTCCCTGATAATGTCCGTTAATATCATGTAAATTGTAATTAATATTCATGGGGTTATAATTCGCCGCGCCGGCTGCGCTCGGAGCCGAAAGTTTTACCGAGAATTTACGCCACCGGCCGGGGAACATATTTTGGGGCCGGGGGGGGGGGGTGCGCGCAATCCCCGATCGTCGGCCAGATACACCGTCGGCTTCTGTTGTGAAATAAATCGTCGGTGGTAAGGCGAACCGCGAAGATTTATTGCGGAATTATGAAGAATGATCCAACGATACCGGACCACCCTTCAACGCCACGATAAATCGACCATGGTTTTTGATATTTTTGAACGTAGAATGTAGATAGGGCTTTTCAACCCTTGTGTTTTTTTAGATCTCACGTTGATGGTTCCTGATCGTCGACACGTGACTTCGATACTATCGGAGGTTACGACGCTTTCATGGCCCCGATGGGTGTTTTTTCTTTAGTTTTCTTGAGATATCACCCAAAGGGATTAATTTGCATAGTTTGTCTTGGGAGTTGATGTTTAGTGATTTTTGAACGAGAAAGATTGTTGCTGAGTATTTTGGTGTTTGGAGCACTTTTCTGGTGTATGGGATTTTAATGCATGCGGTGGGTTATGGATTGGTTTTGGAACTTTTAAGATCGGTATGTTACCTTCAATGTTCTTTATTTATTTATTTAAAGTCCTATGCACCTGTTTAGGTTATTAACCATTACTGTATTATTCTTCTACTGTACTGAACACGTTCGATGCTAATGAAATACAAATTTCCCACCAAAGTTTCTGTCATCGTCCGCAACGGGTCTAGTTTGACCCAGCGCCCCGTCAGTAACCCTGAACCATTCCTCAAAATAATTTCAAAAAAGTTTCCAACTACTAATTAAACTGTCTGCTCAGTCCACTGAAACAACCGTGTATTTTCCTTCTCGGTGTGAACTCTTCCTCGCTGAATGCAATAAAAACCTTTTCCAGCGGCGTTTAACACCTGAGAAAAAGGTTGCAGCGGGCGACAGAATTCTCGGCTTTTATCATCGGAATTAATTCAATCCAGGGCGTCGATTAATGAACAAATTCACGTTAAAGGATCCCATTTAAACGGCACACCTGATTCGTGAATATTCAGCCGGAGGAACGGGCCCCGTCGACATATTCATTAAGTCGTAGGAAGAGAAAGTTTATCCGTAACAGATCGTTTAATTGATTTCACGGTTCGCCGCCGGTTCAAAGACGACTCCTTGCCGCTCCATCGGGATACGAGGTTTATCGCGGGCTCCTCGAGGAAACCCCCTCAATTATGCAAAACAAACCTAGAGAATCTCTCTCTCTCTATCTCCCCTTTAAATAAAATACTCGCCGTTGCGAAAAAAGAGCCGCAAAATCGATCCTGTCTTCTGCGATGCGAACTGGAACAATCAGAGGAATCCTTTATTTTATCGTTAAAATCGTAACATCGTCAATTTATACACGTGGCTCTAATGATTTGATTACTCATTGTAAATGTATATAGTTTTGATATAAAATAATTAATATTTTAGTACAAATGGGCAGAGTTTAGACGACCAAAAATGTATCACTAACTGTTTTGTTTTAGCCCCTTGTTTTATTGACACTTTAGCCATTATTATTGCCAGGTAGATTTGCAGGCCACAGTAAAGGTGCCAATTAGCCATAAAATTCCAAACTGTTGGCCACTTGGAGACTATTAAATTCAATATTTTGAATACCCAATAGGTCCATGAACTTAATGACATGGCCCATTGGAGCATTTTGTGTATTTACATCCGCCAATCATATGACTTCCATACATCCCTTTTATTGCCCAAGTCAACGTGTTGTCATTCAGTATACTTTCAGTCTCTCTATGAAACACTCGTTCGTCTAGAAAATCGGGCAAACCTTATTTCAATTTCGTTTGCTTCCTTTTTCTAACATTCTTCTTTCTAGCCTTTCAATGTTAGTGCTTAAGTGGTAAATAGTTGACTATAGCATGCTTGTGGAGAGATAATACTGTGTTTCGTGGCGTGAATAGTGCGAGCTGTACAGTGCAAATGTGATTCGTTTTGGACCCTCAAAAGAATTCCAGTGATCGAACACTTTGCTACAGTCAACGGAGACTACAAACGGTGAGTCGAGACGAAATTGGATCCAGAACACCCATCGTATTAATTAATATCACTCGATAACTGTATCACTAAAGCATATTCTACATTATCGAGCGTATAAAATTAGCATCGTGATCGGACGCAGACATCTGAGCTCTCCCGCGAAGCGAGGATGTTTAATTGAAATTGTATCGTGAAATAATTAACTCGGGACTGTGCTTAACTTAATAAGAAACTTTCGTGGAAACTTTTGTCAATTAATTGCGATCATAACTGATAGGAGGTAAGTTTGCAGAACTCCGGAGAGGCTTTTACGGAATTAGTTTCTTTCGCGCGGAGGGTCGAGGAGGGGGATTAAAATCTGTTTTTGCTTTGGAAGCACAAAATACTTTCAACTATCAATTGAATATTTATATAATTCTTGAAAATTGAAAGTCACACGTTTCCAGTAACAGGATATAAATTTTATTTTAATAAGAACAATTAGATTGCAGATTTTATGCATATGCAGTGCACACAGCAGTAAAAGATACAGAAAAAGAAATATTAATGAATACTAAACACATTGTTTATTTTGTTTTTAATGCCTATTCATTTCTATTAATTTAACAGAATCCTTGCTCATTTTTTTCGTATTAATTCTTCAATTCCAGCGTAAATAATTTAGATACTCATAATTCGCGGGACACTCTGTTCATTTTGACGTAAGACAATGGTAACAAACGTCCCAGGAAAAATATGAAATATGTCTTCGAGTAAAAAAAACACCTAGTTACGGGATGGACAATAAAAACCATTCTTACGAGTTGTGAAATTATTATCGGACGAGTTGTCCACGGTGTTCATAACTTCTCGTTAACCGAGTCCACCATATTTTTACTTTCTTACTGACCTCTGCCCGTCTGCTCGCGTGGGTATACCTTGGGAATCTTCGCTAGCAGCAACAATTGAAGATCTCTGGTTGATCTCTTGTGGAAGTTCGTAATCAGATGCAGCTTGTTGTCTACGAGAGAAAGTTAACTACGCGATCTTTTTATCCAGTAATGGGCAATGAAACTGAAGAAGTTACGTGAATTATGCTAGTATTTACGCTGTAAAAACACTTATTGCACATAGTTTCTCTATTTATCGCGACGAAATACATCGAATACGAGTAATTTAGCATTGGCAGAGTAGAGGGGGTAGCATCAATTGTACACAAACTAAATAAACTCTGGCCAGGGCTGGTAATTGAAAAATATCAGCGTCTCGCCATTGGCCCGCTCACGCGAGACGGAAATCGGCCAGTCAGCCCGCCGTCCCAGCCGCATACTTTTTCATTACCGTTCGCGCGTTCTCCACCCACTCTCTCCCGCTCTCGCGTCTCGCCCGGGACTAAATTACGGCGTGCAGTTGCTTGTTCCGAGAACAAAAGGAGGGGATCCTTCCACCGAATCGTTGGCCCCGTGGACGGGCACGGGGAAAGGTAGAAATAAATAATTGAGCAGGTTTTATTTAAGAGGGTGCAGCCGAAGAAGAGAGTTTTTCTGGCGATCCTAGGGGCAGGAAAACTAAATCCTCTCCGTCTCTCTCCGTGCGTTGCTTCAGCGTAATTATACCTATATACTTTAACGTACAGCATGTAATAAATAGACTACGTATGTTTATGCAAAATCACATTTTTTTATTCTAATATACAAAAATAAAAATTAAACAGAATTCGATTTCCTACATTAGGGTTTTTAATATATTATTAATAATAAAGTAATACTAGTAAATTTTGTTAAAGTCTTTGTCACTGTGTTTTACGAACGAGATAATGTTATAAATGCATAAACATTCGCGGACTAGTAATAAAATAGAGGCAACGAGAACTATTAACAAAATATAATTCAACCATCGATAACGAGAATTAATTTTTCCGCTTCGACCATTGGTTTCAATAATTGCAGTGTAAAATTGATCCGTTCATGACACATCAACGGTGAGCCACGATACTGCGCTCGGATCCGCCTTTGGCGCGAGACCTTGATTAAAATACTTCGTCAGCTTCCTGATACTTTGAAGCATCGTTCTGTTCGATATGCACAGGAAGTTAATCCCCTTTCGAACGCGGCGGCATGCCTTTGCTCGGCGCAGCTCGGGCGAAACGGGAATTGCGTATCGTTTCGGTGTAATGAGTTACTCGCGAAATAGAAAAGCAATTCTGACTGGTACCCACCGAGGAGTGGAGAAGGAGCGCTTTCACCGTGAACCCAGTCATGGACTAATGTTTGCGAAAACATTATCAACCCATAGAGCGATTTTTGTATCGTATAATGATTGAAAATTACTAGGCTTCTTATCTATAAGCACGGAGATTTAAAAGTTTATTAATAGGCTACCGATCAGTAGAAAAAAAAAAAAAAAAAAAAAAAAAAAAAAAGAAAAAATGATCTTTGAACAATTTTGTTCTTCCATTACA